GTATCTTAACAGGGGTGACAAGCAGCAAATCCTGGCATGCAAGTCTGCAATGTACTACCCTATAGCTGCTGCATTAACTCAACCATTTTGTTGTTCTAGCTTTGCCAGTCCAACTCTGGTGTAACAGGAATGGATGAAATAGGATGAATAGAGCCTGTGGTATGGGCCCACTGGCCCCTTTGTGAAGAAGGGAATCTTGAAGCAATGCCAATGGGAGACTATGAGAGTGGCTTAGGGGGTCTGCTGCAGCATGGTTGGATTGGGACATGCTGCAGGCTGAGGAGCACAGTAGCTGCAGTAGCTGCAGTAGGCTGGCACAGCCATTGGTGGACTCTGTCGGGAGTCATGACTCCTTGGAATGTACGAGACTGCTGGGCTTCTTGGTATCTCATAACCCAGGTCAGTACTAGAGCACGATAGTACACTGTGAGTCCAAGGGGAGTGTTCTCTCTGTCTCTCTGACTCCTTGGAATGCACGAGGAGACTGCTGGCCCTCTTCGTGTCACATAACCAAGGTCAGTACTAGGGCACTGTAGTACATTGTGAGTCCAGGGGAGTGTTCTCTCTCTCTCTCTCTCTCTCTCTCTCTCATAGGAGCATGGCTGTGTCACTCCAGGCCCCTGCAGGGCTGTGCTGGAACCCTATACTAGAGTTGGCAGGGAAGAGGCACTGTATCCTTGGGGGGGGGGGGGGGGGGGAGGGGGCGGGGGGTGGAAGTGGGAGGGGGCCGTCCCTCAGGAAGCTCAGGCCTAACTCCAGGCTCTGAACTCAAGGATCACATGCGGTGCTTGGATGGAAGTCAACTCAAAGACTGCATAAACCACAGGGGGCCAGTGATAGTACAGCAGGTAAGGCATTTGCTTTGCATGTGGCCAATCAAGTTTGATCTCTAGCATCCCATATGGTCTCTGAGCCCCACAGGAGTGATTCCCAAGCACAGAACCAGGAATAAGTCCTGAGTACCACTAGGTATGGCCCAGGATCTCCCACTTCCACACCCCTGAAACCCCTCATCTCCCCCCTACCCCCCAAATAAAGACTGCATAAATCTGTGAGGTTTGCTGAGAGCAAACGGCAACTGGCTAATGAGATAACACACTCCAGAATCAAAGATCTCCCTGCCCCCAGCACAGATTTGTAGCCCACCTGGTCGCTGGAGGCTGCTAGGCTACATTTCATGTTTCCCCGCCTGGGAGGGGGCCGGGTGCACATGCTCCACTGGTCTTTGTTCCCTTTTCCCCACCCAAGGGGTGGGGGTGTGGATTCCACCTGGGAGCACACCTCTCTGTTTCTCTACTTTATAATAAGCTTCTTCTATTCCTTCATTTGAACTTGTCCTGTCCCTCAGTCTCCACTGGGGTCAGGGTTCTCAGGTCTATCAGAATCAGTTGCCATTCACTCAGCTGTGTCTAGAGTAAACATTGGCTAGACTGGAAGGGCAGAGAGGGTTTAAGCCAAAACCCAACATTTCTGATGCATAGACCAGAAAGGCTTGAGAACTGGAAAAAAGGCACATTGGAGGACTGAAGAGAAAGCATGGAAACAGTGAGACTTGACGAGTGTGGTACTGAGTTGAGGGGAGTGAAGATCCAAGGAGTTTGTATAAGAATATCAGAAGAGTTTGCAAGCCTGAAAAAGGTGATACATATAGTGAATAATGCTTATTATGAATAATGCTTATAAGGTAGCACGGCAGAGCCTGGAAAGCTACCCGTGTAACAATAATGGGTCTCATTCCCCTGACCCTGAAAGAGCCTCCAATATGGCAGCATTGGGAAAGACTAGTAAGGAGAGGCTGCTAAAATCTCAGGGATGGGACAAATGGAGACGTTACTGATGTCCGCTCGAGTAAATCAAACAATGGGAGGACAGTGATACGTGGTGAATAAGGTAATCTACTCTACTGGAGAAACAGTTCAAACCAAGACTCCAAAGATCAGCATTTGCTAAGATGGGTTGAAGGTGTTAGCAGATGAATGACCTAGAGGCATGGGAAAATTTTTGTAAAACTCTAAAGTTCAATAAAAAATTTATGTTTACTATAGATCTTGATACAGGATAAAATAAGACAACGAAAAAAATTTAAAAAAAAAGACAACGGTGGTAGGGGGGGGAGATAACGTCCTTGTTTTTTACTACTAAACCTATGAAATTGGAAATGCAATGTTTTTGTTATTGTAAGCTAAGAAATTTCCTAAGGATTGGTATCAGCATGGATTGATTCAGCATCAAACTCCCAACACTGGAAATTTGTGGAGAGGAATTCACTGGTCATTTTGTCCATTACTGGTTAGGAAAAAAGTGAGGGACCTGGCATTTAAGAGCAGGTGCTTGAACTTTTAAACTACTCACTTCTATGTCAGGATTCCATTGTTCTAAATTTTAAGATCCTATTTCATTTCTTGCTATAAACTTCCATCCACTTTAATGTTTCTTTTAAGCACTTTTCAAACAGCAGACAAAATATGGAGTATTCCAATTAGTCAGGGGAGAATTAAAAGCTGTTTGCATTTGAGTTCCATCTAATGATGTTACTGGTGTTCATAAATTCTAGCAGGTGAATAAGAGTTAACCAATTCTTTTGCACCAAAGAGAAAGGCAAGGACAGGAATTATAAAGCCTTATTAATTAGGATCCTAGGATTTGCTGAAGTACTCTTAGGAAACCCTGAACTCCTTTTTAAAAATTTGTTTTTGGGCCACACACTTGGCACTTCTCAGGGCTTAGTTCTGGCTCTGCATTCAGGGATCACTCCGGTAGGTGCTCGAGGGACCATATGGGATGCCGGGAATTGAACCTGGGTTGGCATGTGCAGGGCAAGCGCCCTACCTACTGTACTATTGCTCTGGGTCCTGGTCTCTTTTTCTTAATGACCCTGAGGGACAGAAGGCTGATCCAGAAATAAACTCTTTTGTGTTTCTGTTGCCAAGACGAACCCAGGTTCTCATACATGTGCAGCGTGAGGTCTATGACTAAGCTACATGTCCACCACTTCCCAAATTACAATTATGTACTGAATCTTGGTAAAATATGAGCTGCTTAGTACTGGTGGAGGGATAGGTGTTTGATCATTGTATGATTGAAACAAACATGAAAGCTTGTAGTTATATCTCATGGTGATTCAATAATAATAATAATAGTAATAGTAATAATAATAATAAAACCCCCAAACACTAAAACAAACAAACAAACAAACCCCTCTAGTTTAATCAAATTCCCCCAGTGACCAGGCTCCATAGCTATGTGCTGGGAGGAGACAGCACTACATCAATTAATGCCTGAACTGGCTGTCTTTAAACTGAAAAATATAAATCTTAGTTTGTTTGTAGTAAAACACAAAAACTCACTTAATAAATATTTATGGCATGGCTATAGGTGCTTTCTACTTATTCTAGATATTAATTTCTTTGTTTCATCTGAGTTCCTTGTACTAGATAAAGAACTCAGAGCCAAGGCCATGTCTCTCACAAATCTTTTATTTCTGACTTAAGCAGACGCTGTGGCTCAATCAGGCTTTCAAATGTTTGTTGAATAAGGGACGAATGAATAAATTAAGTGAAGTAGCAAACTGAAATGGATGCCAAGACTTAGAAATAGCTTATTAAGGGATTTCTTGCTTAAATTGTTATTTCAGGGGGATAAATAACACTCAAATATTTGAAATATTTCTCTAAAACTTTATTCAAAGTTTTTCACCTCACTGTTAATAAGGTATATAGTTAATGTGCTGTGCCAATGTTACTGGATCTGCCCATTGCCGGCAATGGACTTTGAGAAAACTCATTTTGTGACACCTCAAAGTTAAATAATTCTTTTCCAAACACACCTAACTCCCAATACCTGCAAGTTTCACATGCACAAATTTCCCCATCAATTTTTAAATCTGAAGTTACATTATTAATCTATATCAGTTGATGTTAAAATGAGGTCATTTTAAACAAAGTTTGACTGTACAAATCAAAATCCTACTAGTTAATATTAGACAAGAGTATTTTACAAACACTACATTACATATTTTCTTGCAGTTTGAAACATTACATTTCATATTTGTGTAAGTTTATTTTAGATAACTGAAACTTCACAGAATTGAACAGCAAATAAAGTTTTAAAAAATTTAGTTCTGTACATTAGTTCCAACTATCTCTATTTTACAATCTATAAGGCTCGTGTCATATAGTTCAGCACCAAAAAGATCTACAAAACTAACCGTCTTCTTCTTCATCCATGTGATAGGTTTTGTTATTTTTAAACGTGAAAGTCTTAGAAAAGGCTTACAAATTCTACTTCCAGACTTTGAAGTGGAAGACTTTTGGGGAGATGATCACAAACAAGAATTGTACTTTTTCATTCTTGTGGAACAGACACAAAAGGGTGAAAAAAAAAAAAGAAAAAAAGAAAAATAAATGAACCAGGAAGAGAATACTTAAAACCATGAACTTAGGCTGTTGTCTTTCAGTTAAACTATTAACACTGAAATATCAGAATTAACCTCGTAATGCCCTCCCCGTATCTTTCCTTTGTTTTAAGTATTGAAAAGGCAATCAGAAAAACTGTTTTTTATTCTTCAGAATAAGGTGCAAAAAGAGGACGGCAATAACAAACTTGCTCATACGTAGGTCTAGTAACGTCCCAATGTTGTTCAACACAATCTACCATGAATTCATTCAGGAGCAAATTGAAAGCTACAGCCCTGGCTCCTGACTACCAATTTTTCAACCCACTGTCTGCTCAGTACGAGCAGCTATCTTCACCAATGTCATTACAATGACTTTAAAGCAACACCCCAGATTCCAGAACCACCATTACTGCCTCAAATCCTCTTCATCTTTGGGATTTATACCTTTGAGAAAAAGAGCTTGTTTGTCTTATTATTTTCAGATGAGGTTTATGCATATCACATTTGAAGACCATAGTCTCAAAATCAGAAATTCACTTTCAAAAAACTGCAGGTACTTTCAATAATCTTGCTTGTTCAAAGTATAAAATTCTTACGTTTTCTAAAAAAAAAAAATTAAAATTGGAGACTAGCACTTTTGCTTTCTTCTGCCAGAAGCAAATGGTTCATCATACATACCACAACAGAAATAAAACTTCATGCATACAAATGGCGTGAAAATTGTATGAAGTCTTACAGAGCCCTTACCATCATTCTAGTACATTAAGCACTGGCTAGACCACAAAAAGAAGCATGTTAGCAAACTGAGCAGAGACTTTCCCAAGAACACAATAGTTTTCCAGGCTCCATGTCAGTCACATAAAAATTTAACATGTACTCCTTTAAAATTGGCCCCGGACATCCTAGTCCCCCAGTTATTCCCATCCACACCCCACCCACCCCAACCCACACGAGAGTCTTGCACGTCACAGAAGGATCTTAATGCTCCCCGTTACTTATGACAGCTGCTTCTGGGTCTGCTGCTGTTGCAGGGAGTCTCGGCATTTTCTTTGCAGGACTTGGAATATGCTAAAACCAAAGGAAAAACATTGTTGACTACTTTGTTCATTTGCTTGATTGCATTTGGTTTTGGGGTCACACCTGCCAGTACCCAAGTCTTGCTCTTGGCTCTGTGCTCAGTGATCACTCCTGAGGTGCTCAGGGGACCTTAGGAATGCTGGGGATCGAACAGGGGTTGGCTGTATATAAGGCAAGTGTCTCAACCCCTGTACATCTCCCTGGCCATTTTTTAAGCGTTATCACGCTAGTTAAAATGCCAAGAGAAAAAACTATGGAGGGCAACTTTGGGGAGGTTTATGCCAAATATAAATTCTATATAAGTTTTCCTAGAGGGGGCCAATTATCTATTTTTACCTTATGGTAAATTTATTATATAATTTATATCCCTCACCCCCAAAAAAAAGTAAGAGAGAAAGATCACTGACATCCTCTATATACAGTATTACTGGATCTTGTATTCATAGCTTTAACTCTGGCCATGTGACTGCTGTCTAATTTGTATAACAAGAACTAAGACTTCAGGGCTGAAGAGACAGCACAGTGGACAGGGCACTTGCCTTGCATGCATCCTCCCCAGGTTTGGGGACAAGGGATGCCCCCAAACAAACAAACAAACAAAGACGAGACACATTTACTGTATTTGTAAAAAGCAAATAAAGTTCAACAAATTCAGTTTGAAGCTTATGATCTTGGTTAAGTCAGTTAGTTTCTTCTCGGGTCATATCGAGCAGTGCTCAGGTGTTACTCCTGGCTCTGCACTCAGGGATGCTGGCAATCAAACCTGGTCGGTCAGTCATCTGCATGGCACGTACCCTACCAATACACTGTATTATTGCTCCAACCTCAAAGTCAGTTAGTTTCTTGTAGTTTCATCTATAAAAAGTATCACTTACCTCATGGTGGTTTTATAAGGATTAAATTAGAAAACATAAATAAAGTTCCTAGCATATAATCCAAATCATTCCTATTATTGTTATTTGTTGACAATTTGGAAGAAAATTTGGCAATGGCCTGTGAGAAGAAATGCAAGGGACTTATCTCTCTTAACTTATCTCTCTTAGCTGGCCAATGAACCTTCTCTTGATTAAAGTCTAGTATGCAGTATGTACTTTTAAAATGCTAATGACTTAAGTGCAAAGAAAATTAAGCAGCAGAAAATGGCCAAGCTAGAATTTAATACTGACCCCTTGCTATGAATTGCTCTGCTCTCCTGATATTCCTTTCCCTGCCGAGTCCTAGGATCCCTTCAAGGTCCTGAGATCTGGAGACACTGACCTCTACTTACCTCATTTGCTGTGCTTGAATGCACTAGTCCTACTCCTTCACCCAAAGTTTCATTTGGGGAGGGGCGCCGAGCATAAGTTCTTCTGTGCTTCTCATCCACTCCAACGAGGTACCATGTTCCTTCAAAGAGTGAATCGATTGAACTCTGGGGAATATAGTTAACTAAAGGAAAGACAGAGAATTAAAAAATTAGTCCTGATATTTGACTCATCTGGAATTAAACAAAGTGAAGTTGCATATTGCCCTACAATGTTCATCAACATTAGATTATACTAAATATAGATAATATTTTTGCATGTAACAAGCCTCCATATGTTCCAAGCTCTACAAGCTTTAGAGTGAGTATACTTATCATATATGTATTATATATGTACATAGGTAGATATTTATAGTAACAATGTAATATTTATACCCAGGTGGTGAGTGTCCTCTCTGAGCTTCATGTGTCCAGCAAAGACATCTGGTGCCATACAAGTTCTTGAGTCAAGTCTTGATTTCAGGTCACATAATGTTGCTGTTATTTTATCAAGAGCAGACCCTAAAAGAGTAAAAAATCCCAATGGTAAAATACTAAAATTAGCATGCCCAAAAGAAGGCCAACCAAAATGTTGCCAAACTTTAATTTCTTTTAGAACTACTACCTACTGCTTAGTTAAAAGCTCAGATCCTATTTGACACAGCTTTCTATGACTTCTGACTAAACATTTGTTCAAATCAGTGGCATGTGAAACTAATCAGAAAGCAGTATAAAAGTTACCTTCTCCCTGCCTGGATGAGACCCCGAGTTGCCACCCACAAATGGCTCCTCTGCTCCTGAACGGCCGTGATCCCAGAGGCAAACAAACGAATCTCGGAACCCAGCAACTTCTGGCAGAAATGCTTCTGGACTGTGAACTAAGCTACCTCCCACCTGCCACCCTGGAAGGGGAAAGGTGTTTGTCCCTCTACCTTTTCCCCCTGGCAGCAGCATGGTGACAGCCATCTCTCAGAGTATATTGAACAGAGAGGTACGGGCTTGCAGTGACTGCGTGGGGGGCAAAACTGGCCTTCCCCCCTGCCTGGATGAGACCCCGAGTTGCTGCCCACGAATGGCTCCTCCGCTCCTGAACAGCCATGATCCCAGAGGCACACAAACCAATCTCAGAACCCAGCGGCTTCTGGCAGAAATCCCTCTGGATTTAATTACTAAAATAACAGAAATCCAAAAATTGTGCAGCCACAACAGTGGGCACATGACATCAAATGTTTTTCATTATCAGCAACAGAAAAAAAATTATCTAATGATGCCTTTTCAGCAGGTCTGACTGTTGGAGGAAAATTCTAAATAATAATAGTGGGTCTTCTGTCGAAAAATTGAATGTAAACAAAGTAAAGAGAGAGTAAAGTGAAAATCATCTGCCACACAGGCAGGGGAAGGGGTGGGGTGGGGTGTATACTGGAGTTCTTGGTGGTGGAACATGTGAACTGGTGAAGGGATGGGTGTTTGATCATTGTATGACTGAGACTTAAACCTGAAAGCTTTGTAAAAAATAAATAAATAAAAGTACATTTATTCCATCTTGCTACAGAAGCAGAATCTATTAATGCATTTAATTCAACAAAATAACATCTAATTTTAAATTAAAAAAAGTAAAGTCAACAGAAATTAATATTATTTATTCATGGGGTTGGAGTGATGGCACAGCAGGTAGGGCACTTGCCTTGCACAGGGCCAACCCAGGTTCGATCCCTGGCACCCCATATTGTTCACCAAGCGCTGCCAGGAGCAACCTCTGAGCATTGCTGGGTCTTGTCCAAACACAAAAATACACAAACAAAAAAACATTCTTATTATTCACTCACATGATGAGAGGGACTCATACACTGGTATAAAGACTTAAAAGCTGCCTGCATTAAATAAATGCCCCTCCCCTATCCAGATCACCTTAAAAAGTGAGATAAGACAGTTACCTGACAAAGAAGAAAAGGCAAGCATTGTGTCATAAAAAAATTTGTAAAGCTGATTCTATTGTCTCTAACAATATAATGCAAGGGAAGAAGCAACCCTGCACTCACACATAGTCCTTCCCTTAGGAGTAAACTCAGACTATGCTAGAAGCAGTAGTGGACACTGAAATGTTGTGATGAGTTCCTGGGACAGAGGCCAGTGCTTACAGGAGTGGCTTGCCTGGCCAACACTGTCACAGTAGCTTCTCAATCTGTTTCTGTAGAAAGGCTCGGTATTTACCTGGGGTGGCGTCTTGTGTAACTCTGATGGAGTAAAGGGTGGCTGCCAAACCAGAGCCATAAGAGAATATTCCAATTCTCTTTCCTGCCAGCTGCTGCGGGGAACACCTGTGTAGAAGGAAAAAACATACCAAGAAGCTTAACTGATCCCTAGTCCAATGTGTGGAAAGGCATTAAAGGAAAGGAAATCCATCCTACAGAGAGCCTTAAGAATCTAACCTAAAGTTTTTACTACTCGAGTAAAATTTTGTACCACAAGCAAGCGTTTTCATGTCTTCAAAAATGATGGGGCCTTCATAAATGCTGCAATTTATGAAAGTTATTATACCATAAAATAAGTTGCTTTGTCAATTAGGGAGTTATGATCCAACTGCAGGGAGGTCAAGAATAAAATCACAAGGAACAGGAGAACTAGAGCAGCTCATAGGGTGCTTGCCCTGAATGCGACTGATCCAGGTTTGATGCCCAGTATTCCAGATGGTTCCCAGGGCACTGCCAGGAGTAATTCTTTGAGTGCTGAGCTAGGGTTAAACCCTGAGAATATCTGGGTGTGGTCCAAAAGCCAAAACCAAACAAAAGAATAAAATTATGACTCTACAAAAAGAAAACATTGAACCCCATCAGAAAATGGGGCGATGAAATAAACAGAAACTTTCTCAAAAAAGAAATCTGAATGGCCAAAAGGCACATGAAAAAATGCTCTTCATCACTAAACATCAGGGAGATGCAGATCAAAACAACAATGAGATATCGCCTCACACCACAGAGACTGGCCCACATCTAAAAGAACAAAAGTGACCAGTGTTGGCATGGATGTGGGGAGAAAAGAACTCTCCTTCACTGCTGGTGGGAATGACAACTGATTCAGCCATTTTGAAAAACAATATGGATGGTTCTCAAAAGATTAGAAATTGAGCTCCCATTTGACCCAGCAATACCACTCTTTGGAACATATTCCAGAAAGGCAAAAAAGTATAGTTGAAATGATATCTGCACTTGTATGTTCATTGCAGCATAGTTTACAATAGCCAGAATCTGGAAAAAAAAACCTGAGTGCCTGAGAACAGATGACTGGCTAAAGAAACTCTGGTATATCTACACAATGGAATACTAAGCAGCTGTTAGAAAAGATGAAGTCATGAAATTTGCATATAGATGGATCAACATGGAAAGTATCATGTTAAGTGAAATGAGTCAGAAAGAGAAGGACCGACATAGAAAATTTGCATGCATTTGTGGAATATAAAGTAACAGAATGGGAGACTAACACTCTAGATTATTAAAGGTAAGTACTGGGAGGATTACTCCACAGTTTAGAAGCTGGACTCACATACTGGGGGAAAAGGCAGCTCAGTTAGTGAAAGGATCACCAAGTAAATGGTGCTAGGAGGATCCGCTCGGGATGGGAGACATACCCTGAAAGCAGACTATAGACCGAACATGATGGCCACTTAATACTTCTATTGCAAACCACGACACCCAAAAGGAAAGAGAGAGAGAGAGAGAGAGCGCAAAAGAGAACGTCACAGAGGTGTGGTGGTGGGAGGGTGATGGGGTGGGGATGGTGGGAGGGATGCTGAGACCATTCATGGTAGAAAGCGGGTACTAGTGGGAGGGATGGATATTCGACCATTGTATGACTGAAATGCAAGCACGGAAGTCTGTAAGTCTGTAATTGTACCTCACGGTAATTCACTAATTAAAAAAAAATCATCGGGGTATCACGAGATGGGGTGGAGCTTGTCCTTCTCCTCCCCCACCCTGACGAGACCCCAATACGCTGCTCACAAATGACCCCTCTGGCTACTTATTAAACTCCTTAATGGTCATGATCCCAGAGACACACAAATGAATCTCAGAACCCAGTGGCTTTTGGCAGGAATCTCTCCAGACAAAATTATTAAAATTTTAGAATTCCAAGATCACGTGGCTCATATGCTATTCATTTGTCTAATGTTGCCTTTTCAGCAGTTCTGAGTGTTGGGGGGAAATTCCAAATAATAATGGTGGAACTGGTATCAAAATATTGAATGTAATCAAAGCAGAGAGAGTAACGTGGAATCTGCCACAAAGGTAGAGGTAGGGGTGGGATGGGGGTATACTGGGGTTTTTGGTGGTGGAAAATGTGCACTGGTGAAGGGATGGGTGTTTTATCATTGTATGACTGAGACTTAAGCCTGAAAGCTTTGTAACTATTTTCATGGTGATTCAACAAATAAATAAATTTATAAAAACAAACAAACAAATAAATAAAATAAAATTATGAGAAAAATGGCCAGAAAAATCAAAAGGAAATAAAAATATTTTAAAGACCCCCCTCCCCATCTCTATACCTGATACATTTGGCTTCGGGACTTTAACATCCCCAAATGAGGGTATTTGACAGCTAAAACTTATACTTACTGTGCCAGAAGAGAAGCAAGGGAACCATACACTGAAGATGTGTACATATTTCCATTTTGATTTGATACAAGCAAAGATGTCTTTGTTTTCTGATTGAAGATTTCAGAACTAGCCTTCATAAATGCCTTTTCCACATCTCTATCAAAATAGGTATCTTCTAACTTAACATCCCTGAAAAAAAATCAGAAAGAGAATTTTACCATGCTCAAATAAAAAACATTTTTATTAGATAGTGGCTCTACTACACTACTCTGTGTGAGTATCTTCCCATTTATAAAAATCAAGTAACAGAATGCAAATTGCTAGGAAAGACCTAACAGTTATATAAACAAGACATCTGATTCTAAAGGATGAGTAAGTCCATTAAAGATCTGTCCTCACCAAACAGAATATACTGTATTTCAAGCCCCATAACACTCTCCTTAGAAAACAAGCTTTAAAAGTTGGGTAGGATCTTATCAGACAGAGGGGACACTGGCAAGGAGAAACAGATTGAGCTGGATAGGCACAGGGTGCTGGGGAGTCTTAAAAGCTGGGAAAACGTAAGAGTCTGGAAACAGTTCGATAGCAGTAGTGTGTGGAACGGCTGGAGGACAGAGGGCAAGGGTCAAGGAAAGTTAAGAAGCTACTTAGCACCAAGAGATGGCTCAAAGGGCTGGGGTGCACGTTGTGCCACAAGCACAACATTAGCACCACGTGCCAAGCCCCCACCCCCTCCCAAGCATTGTCAAATATGGCCCTGGGGGCACCCAAAACCGCTGGGCACAAGCACTGAATTGTCAGGCCCACATAGCTGGGCTGAGTATCTGGGCCCTTAAACACTGTTTGAGAAATGGACAAAAAACAATAAATGACAGTGTTGTAGTGTTTATAGACAATCGTGCAGCCCAATTATCTGGGTGATAAAAGTAACAGAGCTAAAAGAAATCAGGAAATCTGAGTAGGTAGGAAAGGATTCACATTGTTTCACTGTGACCTCCTTGGAACACAGTTTTTTCACTGATAAACTAAGCTAAGAATATATGACTTAAAAATCCTTATGAATCCCAGGCCTTTTTGGTTAAAATGTTCAGGTCAATATGAGACTATACTGGAGAAGAAAAAATTTGTTATGGATTTTCTTACCCAAATGCTTCCAGGCCACTATAGATACTATTTTTATCTCTGTTCTGATCATTAAGAAAATCATTCAGCACCATCCGAGCGAGAGATTTCTGAACCAATTTACAATAGGGTGAGTGGAAGATCATGTAGTCAAAATCATTCAAGGTAAAATCCTTATCATTTCCCTCTGAAAGAGAAACCCCAAATCAATCATGGAATTTATAAACCATTAATGTTTTTTTCCCTTAGGGGACCTCCCTAGTGAAGTTGGAGGTAACCCGGGTTATACCTGGCAGAGCTTGAGAGATTATATGAGACTGGGCTCAAACATGGGGCCCCATGCATGCCAGCCATACACTCCAGGACTGACCTCTCTCTCTGGCCAAAGTGACTGAAATTTTAGACCATAACTTAAAATTTTTTAAATATTTTTTAAAGTATTTAAGAAATATACTGTGTAATATAACAGCTCTGGTTTAAATTCTTACTAGAAAATAAAATAACAGTAAACACTACTATATGTGCTTCTAAAATATAAGAGCCATAATCTACTACTGAGTTATATAATCAACTTATCTTGAGAGATTAACTGATTTATCAAATACCTATCTTTATAGAATTTATAAAAAAACCCAAACTAATAGGTAGCTTCATAGTTTCCAGCCAGGGTGAGGAACTTCATGGCACACTTTTGTTTCAACCTAGCACATGTCTTGTAAAATGTCCTTCCTTACTTGGGTCTGAATAAAAACAAAAATCACTATACTTGACAGGTGTTGAAACATTTTATGACTGAAGCTTAATCATTAACAACTTTGTAACTGTGAATCTCAAGGTGATTCAATTAAAAAAAAAACAAGAAACCACTGTATTGTTAAATACATGCTCAATATATTTAACTATAAGATAGTATACTGAACACTGTTGCAAAACTACTTATTCGGAGACATTAGATTTTTTTTTCTTTTTGGGTCACACCCGGCATCGCACAAGGGATACTCCTGGCTCATGCACTCAGGAACTACTCCTGGCGGTGCATGGGGGACCATATGGGATGCTGGGAATTGAACCAGGGTTGGCCGCATGCAAGGCAAACGCCCTACCCGCTTTGTTATCACTCCAGCCCCGACATTAGATTTCTTAATATGTTACTAAATACTTTTTAAAAAAATCCTCCCTCACAACTGTTATAAAGCAAAGTTGGACTAAATGCACATTTTATAATACTATATGATACAGTAGCATTGATTCAAGCACTACCTTTTTGAGTACCTTAAGAGCTTACTTAGGATTAAAAATGGGAAAATATTTGGTGGGCTACAATACTTGAAGGCTACACCTACCCCCCTACTCTGTGTTTGGAGTTGTTTTCTACAGTGCTCAGGAGACCATATGGAGCTGGGAACAGAATCTGGGCCTCCGCGTTCAAAATAATACGTTCAGCCCATTGAGCTCTCTGGCTCCTAAAGATGTGAATGAGCGATGACACTTAAAACATCACACACGAGGGCCGGAGCAATAGCACGGTGGGGAGGGTGTTTGCCTCATATGGGGACAGCCTGGGCTTGATCCCTAGCGCCACATACAATCCCCCGAGCCCTGCCAGGAGTGATCCCTGAGCAGAGTCAGGGGCAAGCCCTGAGCACTACTGGGTGTAACCTAAAAAAACAAAACCAAAACACCAAACATGGATAAAATAGGCTAAGTACAAGCAAAAAATATGGGGAGTGGGATCATTTCGTAGTTATTTTCCATTACAATTTTCTCTGAATCGTGGTTACAAAAGAAAACCTAGGAAATGTACCTCTCCAAAGATGAACAAAATCTAACTTACTGTCTTTAATCCTACTTTTGATTTTTATTACTAGGGCTAAGTCAACCTAAATATTTTTTTCAGAAATATACCTTATTTCCAAAGCTTAGTTCTTTTCCTGAATTACACAGTCTTAGATAAATGGAAAAATACTATTTGGTGGATGAAGGAGCAGTTCCTCAGACATCATGGACACCAATCAAACACCACAGATACCAAAACCAAGGAAAAGGCTAAAATTTCCCTTTACAGTCTTAGAGAAACTGAAAAAATACTATTTGGTGGATGAGAGAGCAATTCCTCAGACATCATGTGAAAGCAACCACACACCACAGACACCAAAACCAAGGAAAAGGCTGAAGTTTACCTTTCTGCCATTGGGCGCGGATCTTTTTGCGGTAGACATAATAGCAGCGGTCTAAGGCACTGAGGTAGCACTGTATGGAGAGTTTTCCATCTACAATAGGGTACTCAGAAAGCAGATCAGGCTTGTAAAAGTCATATGCATGTTGCATGTGTGTCCCTCGAAGTCCTATTAGAACCAAAAAGGGGGATTATTCTGTATATCCAACTCTTAATCCCTCACTCTAATACTATATTAGCCAATTTTATCAGTAAATGCAGTATTTTCTGGCCTACCTTAACTATCTAGTTAACTGTGTACCATCCGCATTACAATTATCATGAGTCAATATGTAACTGAAAAATTTTATGTAAATATATAAATGAAACAAAAGTATTTCTTGATGGAGGCCACAGAAATAGAGCCCATCATGAAGCATCTGCCCTGTATGTGGTGGACTCAGGCTTAAACCCTGGTGCCACCTGAGCTCCAGGAAAGATCCCTGAGCACAATACCAGGAAGGAAGGAAGGAAGGAAGGAAGGAAGGAAGGAAGGAAGGAAGGAAGGAAGGAAGGAAGGAAGGAAGGAAGGGAGGGAGGGAGGGGAGCGAGGGGAAAAAAGGAAGGAAGGAAAGAAGGAAGGAAGGAAGGGAGGGAAGGAGGGAGGAAGGGAGGGGAGGAAGGGGAACGAGGGGAAAAAAGGAAGGAAGGAAGGGAGGGAGGGGAAGGAAGGAGGGAAGGAGGGGAAGGAAGGAGGGAAGGAGGGAGGGGAAGGAAGGAAGGAGGGAGGGAGGGGAGCGTAGGGGGGAAAAGGAAGGAAGAAGGAAGGAAGGAAGGAAGGAAGGAAGGAGGGAGGGAGGGAGGGAGGGAGGGAGGGATGGAGGGGAAGGAAGGAAGGAGGGAGGGAGGGGAGCGCAGGGGAAAAAGGGAAGGAAGGAAGGAGGGAGGGAGGGAGGGAAGGGAAGGAAGGAGGGAGGGAGGGAAGGAAGGAAGGAAGGAAGGAAGGAAGGAAGGAAGGAAGGAAGGAAGGCAGGCAGGCAGGCAGGCAGGCTTATACTTCTCTGTAAAATGGGAATGAGGCAAAAATATAAGGTGAAAATCACTTACCTTAAATAATTGCTATGAAGACAATATAATCACACCGACAAACTACTTTAAGTAGTGCTTATTCAGTACTACTCTATATTTCTATTTTCAAATTTCTCATTGTATTGAGCTAATATACAAAAATGCTTTGCCAAACACTCACCTCGCTCAAAAATTAAAGGGGCATTTGGCCCAATTAGCATAGCCACAGCCCCGGCTCCGCCCGTTGGTCGAGCATTTCCTGAAGCATACACTGCAATATCCCCTGCAACCACCAGTGCATACCGTCCTGAAAAACAAAGTTTTTCTTAGTATACAAGAAGGTAACCAACATGATAAATATCATATGTGTGTATGAAAGTATTATGCTTTCCACAAAATAGATTTTCCCCATTCTTGGGAAGACAGGCTCTGACTAAATTTTGTCCTATGTGAGATTATAAAGAGATTACCACTTTATAATTCAGAAATAAGTTGAAATTCATAGCTATCTTTCTGAATATATTCAAACAAGATTACATCTAGTGAAGTCTGTATACAGCACACATTAGGTAGTCATTGGGACTAACTCATCCCCAAGACGGACTAGAGGCATAGAACATACCATCCCAATAGCTGGACTCAATCCAGTTCACAGCATTGAAGACAGCAGCCGTGCCTCCGTAGCATGCATTAGTTGTATCGAGTCCTTCTACATCTGTGTTTCCAGACTCCTCAAAGAGCTGCATCAGATTAGACTTCACTGACTTTGATTTGTCGATGATGGTTTCTGTTCCAACCTCGAGCCGTCCAATGCAATCATAGGAAAGGCCATGTCTCTCCATGAGATTCTGAACCACAGTCATGCAAAGAGAGTTGATATCTTCTCTGTCTGTGCAGAAGCCCATCTTGGCCTGGCCCAAGCCAATAGTATACTTTCCAGCATCTACACCATCATATTTTTCCAACTCTGTTTGGTCAACATATTGAGAAGGAAAATAGATCTCAAGGGCAACAATTCCCACATCTTTTGGCCAGCAGGCTTCTGCATTCAAAGGAAGTGACCCAGGCATGGTGAAAGAGCTTTAGAAAGAAAAAACAGAAACACATTGCTTTAGATTATAAATTGCAGATTTCTGAATTCAAACTTGAGCCCTTGCACATTCAACTATCACCCAAAATATTAATTTCCTTCTAGTTTAGTAATGTAGTATTTTATTTAGTGGAGTAAAATTTAATTATATGGCAGAATCAAGTAAAGAATGAATAGAATACTATTACTTAAAATGATTATATTTTAGAAAGGCCTAAACTTTATTCAAAACAGAAATATTTATATTAGGAATCTTTATATTAGAATGTGATTATTAGAAATAAAGAGAACTCAAGTGAAATTCTTTCTTTTTAAAATTTGTTTAACTTTAGCATCATATTCTGCAGTGCTCAGGCTTCCTCCCAGTTCTGTGCTCCATGTCACTCCTGGCAGTACTTGGGAAACAGAACCTGGACCGCCTGTGTGCAAAGTACGAGCTCAGCTCACTGAACTATCCAGCCTAAGATTTTTCTATTTTGTTCCTTTTTCTCCCCCAACCTCCCCCATTTTTCTATTTTGTGAGGAATAAAACAAATACAGTTGAATAACACAGTTAACATAATTCAAGTATCTGATCAATCCTCTGTTATCACAAAAATGTTTAAATAAGCTATTCATCATAGGTATACTGATTATTCTGCTATTGACTATATGACTTCAGAAACTGTTAGATCAACTCCTGGGTAGCCTCCTGAAGTCACTATTTTTTTAAAGAAAAGGTACATGGAAGCAAGATGGACACTGTAGCATCCACCCAGACCTTCACTAATTACTAGGTTTATTCACCAATGGGTCACTCAAGGACATTGCTGTGTGGGGTGAGAGCGATATTACAGTGGGTAGGGCACTTGCCTTGTGTACAGCCAATCCTGGCTCCATCCCTGGCACTCCATATGACCCCCCTGAACCACCAGGAGTAAGCCCTGAGTACCATGCCGGGGGTAGCTCCCCAAACAAAACAAAACAAAATAGACCATTGCTATGTATCCCACAGGCAAGTCAATGTCTTTAACAGTGTATATTAAAGAGAAGAAAAATTACTCTACAAACTCACAGAAAGGAACACAAGGAAATGGCTACAAACTTATTGACCAGGCTGGAGGAAAGAAAGGAGGGAAACAGTTAGCTCAGTCCCAGGAGCCCTCGGCCCTCCGGAAGCTCTGATGCCGCCAGGATCCACCTCTGTGGTAGGGCTGGCCGGACACTAGGCTTCCACCACGGCTGTCACTGACAAAAGGAAGAGGGCTACTTCCCTGAGACTCTCACTGACTCTCACTGCAGTTCTTCCTAACCAGCTGTCAGGGGTAGGGGATAGGGTATATGAGAAACAAAATACTCAGTCTGGGAAGAGGACTTGGCCCCTAGGTTGCAGAGAAAGCATGAAATTCTACATCTCCACCTCCTTTTAAGGTATCATATAGTAAAGCTTCTGGGATAGAACTGCAGCTGTTTGTTGGTCTTGGTGTATGAGAGCGATGTCAGTCAAACTGGTTCACTAAATCCACTATTGCATATGCCGCCTGCACTAACTTGATTTCTAGGAGTGGAAAGTCAAATACAGTGATTATGTCATTCGTTCCCTGCCGCTCTGCAAAAGCTGGAGTAGGATCAGGTATCATGAAAGTATAGATCATTACCGTACTGGATGACTAAGTACTGAAATGTGAAGAAGAAAGGCTTCCTTCCATCACAAAACCCTTAGCTAACAGGTGATCAGTTAGGAGTATATTAAAACATAAAATAATCATCTGCAAATATATGAGAAACAACCACCAAATCTAAGTTTAAGATCATAGGATACAGTGGAGTCTTCCTTCTAAATACAAGATCTTCCTTGTCCTTTTTCATTTGCCCTAACAACAACAACAAGATCTGTGCCAAATATTTGTAGTAAGTTGAATTGGTGCTGATCCTTGGCCCTTTACAATAATCAGTTTGTGGGATAGTAAGGCATCAACACATAATAACAAAAAATCAGTTCTGTGAAACAACAGACATTCATGCTGTGTGATGGAGACCTCTGTAATGCGAGGCCAGGGCAAGAATGGGACAGCTGCTGGCTTACTCGTGCCTGAGGAGGATTCAGGGAAGCTGTGCCAAAGCAGGTGGTGGCATCAGATGATCCACAGGGTTGGGCACGAAAACAGTGGCCCACAACAGCAAGGAATCACCAACAGTTGGAGTAATTTTCTCAAGCGAGAGACCTGAGGCCCAGTGAGTATGAGATGTCAAGGGGGGGGGGGGGGGGTGGCAGGAGAGCCAAGTTAGGAAGCATCATAAAGGTTCCGGAACACTGCCATGAGGGAGCTTCATCGAAGAAAATAGTAAACCATGCGAATTCTGACCAGGACTCACAGCCATGAGTATTCAGATCAGTGTTCTTCCCACTCAGATTATTTTGTGGAAGGCAAATAAAATTTATATGTATATACATATCTAGGCAATAATTTTAGTCACTCCACAGAGAATGAATTGGAGTTGGGAAGTAGATATAACAGTCAATATTAGATGCAGGCTATGAACTAGAATAACTATTACATGAGAGAGGGAAGGAACAGCTTCAAAACATATCAAAAGATTTGACAGAAACTGAGCCAGAGAGATAAAACTGGGATTAAAGCACTAGCCTTGCATGTAGCTGATCTTGGTTTCTTGGTTTGATTCCCAGCATCACACAGCTATAACCCAAAACCCAAAACACAGTGGGGGAAGAAAAGGAAGAAAGGAAGGAAGAAAAAAAAGAAAGGAAGAGAGAGAGAGAGAAAGGAAGAAGAATAGAAACTGTGATTGCCAAGATATTAGGAAAGGGCTGACACTGAGGTTCCAGCTCAGCTATTTTGTCACTCACACACACGAAATAAAGAGCTTGTCCGCTCGGTTCCATCTCTCCTCTTTCACACAAATCTATCAATGTTCTGATAACCTAAACTGTACGCCCACTTTGCTACACTGAAGTTAAAATGAAGACATTAGAAGGATGGTACAAAGTTCCCAGGCAGATTCCAGTAAAACATTAAGTTATAGTAAAATATATTTATGTATTTTGAACCAGTCACAGCAACAAGCTCTACATCTAGTACTTCTGTGTTGTTATTCTTAGAAAAAGATGAGCCCGTATACTTAGAAGCAAGAAACCCTCCCAACTCCCCTCTAAATCAGTAAGGCAGGGGCAGCTGGACAACCACCGTCCAGCTTACCCGAACATACTTCTTAGCTCTTCCAACTGCTCTAAATATGCTCAGGACACTGACATTTTCCTTGCCTGATCCAAGAGCTTAAATGCTCTACAAAATAAAATGGACTTGTATAGTTCTCCGAAGGAACTGCAGTTTATATTTTAAAACCCACAATACAAGGTTTCAGTTCCAGAATTTGCATTTAGTATAACCCGACTAGCTCCGGTGAGATTTCTGTATTCTCACTTACAAAGTAAAAGACAGGTCTGTTACTTTTCTCTTTTTCTGTTTTGCTTTGGGTTTTCTTTTCTTTTCTCTCATTTTTTTGGGGGGCGGGGGATATATTGGAAGTGCTCAGAAGACCACATGTGGTGGTGCAGATCAAAATTGGGTTGGCTATGTGCAAAGAAAGCGTCCTGTTCACTGTACTATCTCTCTGGCCCAAAGTGGTTTTCATTATAACACTGGTGAAAAGTCATGTGGCTAAAATATTTGGCTTTTGGTTGCAATGGAGGGCAGTGATTAAGTAGGAAAGAGGAAATTTGATATAAGGCAGTAATTGCTTCCATAGCATTTGTCTGCCATAGTTTCTGGTCTGTAATCTTCACTTTGAACTATTTTATATTTGTGCCTTCTAATACACTGTCTTCTCTGAAGCAGGACATATCTAAATTTAAACTTTAAGAAAAAAGAAAAACACCTGGGGGATTAAGGCAGGGTCAGGAGGGAAACTGGGGACATTGGTGGTGGGTGTTGAAACCCAATTATGAACAACTCTTTAACTGTTTCCCATGTGATTCAATTAAAAAAAAAAAGCAAGAACAGCTCAAGGACTGAGATGCTGACATTAGTAAGAGCTTGAGAACGCACTGCACCATGTGGTCCCCTTGAACCCTCTGGGGTGTGGTCCCCAAACCAAATCCAACCATTGTTGACCACAGTCAGGAAATGGAGAATTCTGGTTAATCCAACATTCTAAATATCACAAACATTTTCTAAAGAAAACATAGTTTTAAAAAGTCTAATAAGCAAGCTAATAGGAATTCTGTGTCCATAATAAATTCTGTTAAAAAAATGTTTTAAATCTCATGCTTAAAAGAAAAAGATACACTTTTACCACAGAGCTCTATAAAATTCCCAAATCTCCCTTTCAGTAAGAGGGTTCCTACAAAAATCTCAAGTGCTTTATAAAGTTCACCATCAGCTATAGAAAAGGAGCCCTAGGGTTCAGGATAAAAAACAAGATGCCTGGGAGGCATTGTATGTTGGGGCGCTTCCCTGCTTTTCAGAGCTCTAAAGGACCAGTATGTTCCGGGGCGGGGGTGGGAGGGGGCTGAAAACAGGAAAAGAAAGAGGTGGGGAAGAAACAGGGAGGTCAGCAGAGGATGCTACACCCCTGACTGCTCCTCCAGGGGGAGGGAAGGAGAACCTGTCAGCAACGTGCCGGGGACTCTGATGCCAGCAGCCTGAGTGAGCTCTTGGCCTCTGCTCCCAGCCATCCTGGGCTAGCGTCTGGAACTGTATACCTCTGGCCTTTGACAAAAGATGACCTAAAAGTGATTCCCAGTTTCTCTTCTAGCTTTGCTATTAAGCTAGACAAAGAGTTTCTGGAGAACAGGAGTTGAATGCCCTGTTCATCTCTGTCTCTCCTGGTACCCAGCTTGGTGCTTGGTCAATGATGGAGAAATCTTCCTGAGCCTAATCTAAAAGTGCCATGGACATCACATGCTACAGCACACACGGAAAGAGAAGAGAAGAGCTTCACTGCAATATAGGAAATCAATGGCTGTGAATAATTCAATGGTTGGTCCAAACTCTTTACTTAAAACCACCACCCCACCAAACATCCCAGATTTGCTTCATTTAAGGTTGTAACTTAAAGAGCACTGAAGAGCAAAAATGCTCAGCTGCCATTTCTCATTAAGCAATCATTGTGTGTATATTTTATTGTTTTCTCTTACTAATGAGCGCTAAATGTCTCTCCACTTAAAATGTTTGTATAATACACGCTCAGTCTTCTGAAACATTACAGCATTAACTATTTCAGGTAACTCTGAAATGGTTATTCTGAATTTGTGGCACCAACCCATGGTTCTCTGCCCTTGGGTAATGTTAGACGTCCCCCTCCAACAGAGAGGCACCCTGTCCAAGGCCATACCTGTGTGAGGGATAGAGAACTGCAGTCTCCAGGTCTGTCACTCTGTTTCGTCCTTCAGGCACTAGGAATTTCAAATAAGAACTTCTTTAAAGTCACAAATCACTATGCAAATTCAAATAAATATGACTCCCACTCCAACAGAGTCTCATAAACATTTTCTTGCCCAATTCCACTAATGTGGAATAGAAAATTCTATCCTACTGTGCTCAAAAGAAACTGGTACTGAGAGCTCACAAGTGTCTCACCCTTATTTCATTAGTTCTTACAGCGGTAGGTTCTGTCCCAGCAAAGAAGTCCAAGTTCCTAGCACTGACTGAGGCTTTTAGCCCAAGTGCGATTCTAGGAGAGTCATAAACTCCTCTAAATCTGAAGTTTTCAAGAATTAAGAAAAAGGAGTAAGTTGTACTAGGTGAATAAACTTCTGGAGTAAAAGGACTTAAAACATTCAAGAGCTGGGATATAACAATTTGTGCATCTCTGACACATTTAACAAAATGTGCATCACATTTTCTCATGTGAAAAATAAACTAATAATTGGTCACTGGCTCACTGTAAAGGTGATTGTGAAAGTGTGACTCAAGTGTTAAAAGTACCAAAAAAAAAAAAGTACCAATGTACTGCTATCCTAGTTTTAGTATTTTCCTTTTTCTTCTTCCTTTATTTTTACACTCTGGGTCATGTCCAGCAGTGCTCAGTGATCACGCCATATGTGGTGCCGGGGTTTGAACAGGGTCAGTCACATGCAAGGCAAGTGCCTTAACTCCTGTACAATCTCTCTGGCTCCAGTTCTTCATATTTTTTTTTCAAATGAAACATATCTGCCTAGCAATACTTAGTTATTTTCAGTTATAGCTGATGCTTCTATTTTTCTATGGCCATTGTCATATTCCTCAACGTTTTAGAGAATTATTTTCTTCTTAGTGCCTACAGTTAAACCCTATCATATGGCATATTAAGACTAAGAAGTATGAAGTTTTACCATCATTTAAATTATGCGGAAATAAGATGGGAAGGCAACTTTGGTGCATTTTCTTTAATCCATCTGTTCTGAAGAATTGTTACTTGAGATAACATTTCCTATGTTTAATGTCAGCAAACACAACTTCCTTTGCTCTCTAACTGCACTTAGTTGATTAACCCTGGACTACATTCAGATGCTAGTTAGCAAAGTGTTACTTCTTTTACAAGATTAGGTTATTTGAAAGCTTTTGACAGCCTTAGTCCCTCTTACCTCATTTATTTACCTTCCAATCCCAATAAAGTAATCCTGAGTTTTGTACAAAGACAAACTACATTTGATCCATATTTTATTATATGTGTGCATAATATATATAAATATAAAGATATATACATATATATATGCACTCTGAGAAAAACTACTGTATTCTTTTCTTTACTATCCCAAATGACGCTCGTGCACTCTGCAAAGCAAGCAGACCTTAAGGAGTTCTCGGTGGTGCTGGCTGAGCTGCAGGAAACATGATCTCTCTGCATGGCAACTATGTAAGGAATTTACTAATTTCTCCAAGCACATATGATATACATTTGACATTACTTGTATCAAGAAATTTCCTTTTCTTGAGCAGACCATGTTGCCACTTTTTCATTTGGGGAAGGAAATATTGGCAAGGTCTGGGGCAAATCGACTTTATCTAGTTAACAGGTCTGTCACAGCAAGAGAGCAGAGCAAGCAATAAGGGTGGGAAGCAGTTAGTGACTCACAAGTGGCTGGGCAGGTTATCAAAGCAGCCCGTCTGGGGACTTCTGCCTTGTACAGAGGCATTGTGAGCTTGGCCAAGATTAAGGCTGAAGAAGGTTAGTGCCTAGAGCTAACCAGGTGCAGGCACCATTTCTCCTGGCAGTTATTCAGTTGGTTGTTTGCTTTAAAAGTTTTTTGCAGAGGCTGGAGCAATAGCGCAGCAGGTAGGGTGTTTGTCTTGCATGCGACTGACCGGGTTCTATTCCCAGCATCCCATAAGGTCCCCTGAGCACTGCCAGGAGTAATTCCTGGGTGCAGAGCCAGGAGTAATCCCTGAGCATCACCGGGTTTGACCCAAGGTAAAGGTAAAGGTAAAGGCCCTCCCGTTGATCGTCGATTTGCTCGAGCGGGCCCAGTAACGTCTCCATTGGAGACTTTGTTGTTACTGTGTCTGGCATATCAAAAAGGAAAAAAAAAATTTTACAGCTGGCTCCTTCCTTGGGGTGAGTCAAAAGGAGTGGTGGGATTGGTTCATCAAGGACATATTTTGGTGGGGGATAAACTATAAGCAGTTACTGACTGTGCTTTGTTGAAGTTATAAGAAAAAAATTCAGAAAACTGAGGAGCTGACAACCTTTCCTCCCTGGAAGTCAGCAAGTAATACCACTGTTCAGAAAGCCTTGTTCATGGCTGCATGTGATGCCTAAGGAAAAACACTTGACCGTACTGCCCCCTAACTGGACCCTACCCCCTGTACCCTCTCTGGACCCTGCCCCCTGCCCCCTCTCTCAACCCTGTCCCCTCTCTCCTTTTCTGGACCCTCCCTGCTGAGGCTTCTGGTCAGTGCACAGAGTCTACTCTTATTTCAAGACCCCTGCCCCCATGTGAGCTACCTCACCCCAACCCTGGCCTATTCTAATGAGGGCCCTGCACTGACTCCAGCACCAGTCTTCACCATCCACTCTCTGCACCACTAACTGGAGGCCGTCCTCTTGTCATACAGCCTCCTAGGCTCCTGTGGAGAGAATGGCTACTTTTCTCTTGGTTTTTGTTGTGGGGTCACATGCAGCAGTGCTGAGGGCGGGGTGGGGTGGATGTGTGTCTTACTTCCAGCATGCTGCTGGTAGGAGGGGTGTGGTCACTCCTGTCTTGCTCAGAGGACCACATAGTGCTGGGAACTGAATGTGAAGTTCCTGCTTTCAAAGCATGAGCTCTGGCCACTAAGCTCTATACTGTTTTTGATTCTTTTGAAATCCCTCTGAGACCTTTGAGACCCTTTGAGGATAAAGGGTAACCGACTGCCTTTTCTTTTCTGAAAATACGAAATTTAGAGTTTCATCAAAAGAATTAGAGGACAAAGCTTTTGGATTCAAGTTACCTGTAGCTGCCCTCACTGTTAAGTAATTTTATTGCTATAACTTTTTGTTTGTTTTTAGGTAATGCTCAAGGGTAACTCCTGGCTCTGCATTCAGGAACCACTCCAGTGGTATGCAGGAGATCAGATGGGAATTAAACCCTGGTCAACTCTGTGCAAGGCAAGCACTTTATTCATTGTACTATTTCTCCAGTTTCTGCTGTAACTTTGAAGATGAGTTGCAGTAACAGTGTCCTGTCATTTAAGAAAAGCAGCTTCTACTGCCGCTGTTTTAAGCAATGGTGAATTTAACTGGTCCCAGAACCCAAAACCTAAAACATGTCAGGATTGTAAATAAAACCACAGCACATACTGATCTTACAATCATTCCCACATACATCTATCTCCATGGACAAATTTGGCAAAAGACGAGGACTGTGAACTTAATAAACATTGGTTTCTCCTCTACTGCCCTAAGTTGACAGACAGCAAGAGTATGAATAAGTGCCAAACTTCAGGATGAACAAGAATGATTCAGGATAACTGAGTCCAAACGTCCTCATTAGCATGTTTCCATTCTGTCCTCGCTTAGCAAATTTCTCAAATTTGCCACACATAGGGGTTGATGCTCAGGGGTTACTCTTGACTCTGTACTCAGGTATTACTCCTGGCGATGCACAGGTGACCATATGGGATGTCTGGGATCAAACCCAGTTTGCCATGTGCATGGCAAACACCCTATCTGCCGTATTATCCAGCTACAGTTATCAACCTTTTTAATCTCTACCACCTTCTGAGAAAATGCCCAAACACCACTCTTTGGATCTTCACTGTCTCAACATGAAAAGACAAGTCTATACTACTTTCTAAATGAGATAAAATATTCTCCTGTAGAAGCCATCAACTCCTCTATCCACAATCTCCACTACCTCTCCCCACACTCAGCCCCAGTGTTTTAAGTAATTCTAGGGCAACTAGGAAACACACATTACACCAGTGTCATGGTTTTCTATTTTCTGTGAGTCAAGCTACCTAATAAAATCCACAAAAAACTCAAAAATCAACCCCACAGTTAAGAGGAAACAAGACGTAATAGATCTAGGAGGAGTATTTAAAGCAACAAAAACCAAAAGCAGAGCCCAGAAGGAGACTTCAACATCCTGGAGAACATGCTTTTAAATTTCCCCATGAGAAACAAGTTCTGAGAACAAAACCCCAGCTGCAAAATGAGAACTGAATAAAATGGCAAACGTACCAACAGGAGCGAGGGTTACACACATCAAGCTCAGTGTCCCCTCCCATTAGCTATATGATCCCCACCCTTCTTGAGTCACTCAGAAATAACTATTTTAAAAATGACATTGAATTTATTTTCTTTGGAGGGGGGCAAGGGGTCCACTCTCGGCCCTGCATTCAAGAATCACTCCTGGTGGTGCTTAGGGGAGTATATTGGCCTTGTACAAGGCAAATGCCCTACCTCAAACGCTCTACTAGCTGTACTATATCACTCCATGTACTATATTCTGTATATGTATTATATCCCTAAAAATGGCATTTTAATTAAAAAAGGAACACACTCTGTTTCAGATGTCTCCAGATGTAAAGGAACCCTATGTTCAGAACATTGAATCGTCTAACAGAATGTGTGCAATGCACATCTACAGCCCTAATTTTCCATTTTTCTTAATTTCGTCATTTCTCTTGCCACTGGTGTTCATGATTCATCCCTGAAACTGAGCAAATGCTACTCAGCAGCAAGAATACATCACAGCGCATCAGGTTGACAAGAGTAGATCCCGCAGGAGGGAAGGGCTGCAAGAAGGGGTGAAGGGACCCAGGGATGCCCTCACGCCAAGGCTACAAGGCAAGCAAGACACGCAGGAACAAGCACACAGTCCTTTATTACCTGTGGCCCAAACCTCACCAGGGTGGGTCCCAGTGATGCGCTCTCTAGCACTGGTCAAGGGAGGCCACACGTTTTCACAGACCCCATGGAGTTGGCTTTCAAGTGTCCTTCTCTTAAACCCCAAACCTTACTGTGTGGGAAGGCCAGGAAGGTTACATCACCACCGGGTTAGGCAGGACCTGAAGTTACTAACAAGCCAGGCATATGGGATTTCGAACAGCAATAAAATCCTTTTACTGCCCCCACCCCCATCTTTTTCAATGGGCGCTAAAAAATATGGAGGCGGAAAGGTGGGAAGCAGGGCGGACTCTGCGGTGTCGGAGGCATGCACAGACCCAGGCAGTCGAGAGATCCGGTGCTCAGGTAGCTTTAGCACGGATGTGATGCTCCCTGCTTGCTTCTGAACTCGGAGAGAAGAAGGAATGCAGTCCATTTCCCATCCTTCCCCGAACTTTCTCTATGTGGCAGCAGGACACACCTCCCCACACGAAAACGTCTGTCTGGGCGTAATCTAACCCATCCCGGGGCATCCCCAGCTTAACCCAAAACTCCAGGCACGCCAGGGCTGCCCAGCTCCCTGCTCGCCCCCTCAAGACCCTCACGGCGATCGCAGCCACCTCCCCAGGCAACTCTGGCTCCTGGAGAACCATGCCCTCCCAAGCCCAGCCCTCCAAGCCCTATCCTCTTCGCTCTCCGCAGGTCGCCAGCCCACGTCCCGTGTCTGCGGCCTCTCCTCCGACCCTACGAGTTGCAAAGCAGGGCAAATTCTGCACGACCCCGGCTCGCGGCGCCCCATCCTCCCCAGCCAGGTCCACGCCTCCAGCCTGACCCGATCGGAGCACGACTCTTTCGGGCCTAGTCAAGGACACCGCACGGCCCAATCCTCGGTCCGCTTGCGGCTCCTCCGAGCCCAGCTCTCCTCCACATGAGGCACTCACCCAAACGTGACCGGGCGATGGCCGAGGACAAGAAACAATCCCGAAGGAAGATACAGTAGCTAAGCCTTCCCGACGCCACCAGCTTTATAAGCCACCAACCCACCCGACTCCGGCTCCGCCGGGAGTGGTGGGAGGCGGGGCAGAGACTCCAGCAGCCAATTGAAGTCGGCAGAATAGTCCGGGAGCGCCCGCCCCCCAGTCCGACTTCTACCAATCAAAAGGAAACTAGAGGCGGGCTCTGGCTAGAGTTTTCCCTCGCGGCTGAAAGGGCGGGGGAGGGGGCGGGGACAAAGTCGGAGGGCCGAGGAAGTGGGGTGAGAGAGTGACGTACGGTGGCCCGAGAGCTCTCCTGCCAATGATAGAGCGGCGAGAGACGGCGAGAGCCAATAGGAGCGGAGTGAGGGGTTCTCCGACCAATTGGAGGTCAGTGAGAGGAGACGAGGGCCAATGGGACCTTCGCGTCCCACCACTGGGGAGAGATGGCCAAGTGTGGGAGGCAAGTTGGTCCCTGCTTCAGAGTCTGTCAAGTTGCTTAGCAACCAGAGCTCTCGGCTTCACCTGTACGATATCGGAAATATTTTATGTGAATTCCGTCTTAACATTTTCTAGTCTCCGAAGCAGCCAGGTGCAACTGCATTGCAAGTTGGAGCAGAGCATACCACCCAGAATTGTAAATATTTTAATTACCCGATTTTTATTTAAATACCCAATATTGTCACCTCTTCCAGACTATCTGAACTTTAGTAAAGACTCCGATTGGGGACAATTCTTCTCCTTTTTTTTTTTTTTAAATGTAGGAGTACTACTATTTATTTAGCCTTTGATTAAGCTGAGGGACAATTCTTCTTAACTTAAACTAAAACAAGGAAGCTTGGCACTAGGAACCAGCGCAGAAGTTGTCTGAACAGGGAAATTTATGGGAGGTTTAGCATTTATGCTGGCCTATGCGCTCAGACAGGAGATCCATCACGTACATTTGCCACCATACCATCTGAACTTGAGATATATGGTAGGAGCCAAGGAAAATATTGTTGGAAGAAGGAACGGGACCCTTCTCAAGATAGTCTGTCTGGATGACAAACACTGCCTAAATCCTTTAGAAAACAGAAACAATTACAGCTGAAGGAAATTGGTGACTCACTATTTGGGGAAATCCACAATTTATGGCCTTAGAGTCTGCCTGCCTACTGAGAGATGCCATGTTAAGCACCTTCGGTAAATGTCCCTGAGAGATTTAGAATTCTCTCTTCCCCTATCAGTTTTACTACCATCCAGAAACACTGTTAATAAGACAGTTGATGATTTTTGTGTATCACATTTGGGGAAATGTGTTATCCACTATAGACATTAACCTGAGACATTCTCAGCAGCAAAGTGGCAAAAGTATGTTGAAAATGAAACCTGTAAAGGAGGAAGAGCATAACTCAATAATGGCTATCACTCTCTAATATCTCTCATGATATTCATTCTACTCCAGAATCAAAGTCACTTCAGACTTCTGTCAAGTAGGTAATAGAGCCATTACTCATCATGATCAAATGACATTTGGAGGGGCAAATTAAAAATTCTTAATATAGGGGCGTGAGATAGTAGAACAGGTAGGATGTTTTGTCTTGTATGAGACCAAACCATTTTTGACTCCCTGGCATCCCATATAGTACTCCCAGTACTCCCAGTACTCTTAGGTGACCCCTGAGTACCACCAGGTGTGGACCCAAAACAAAGACAAGCAAAAATTTCCTGGCATTTTAGAATATGTTGAAAGGCAGTAAGAATAAACTCAAATAAAAAGGTGTATCAAAAAAAATGAAGTTTTGTCTTTAGAAAAGGGTAGCAAATAAGTCCAACATCAGGAGTACACAAAAGGAAGTTATCAGCCATATGGTCATGAATATTATCATTTAGTATTTCCACAAGACAGATTATCTTTTTTGATCAACTCAGTTTTCAATAAAGCAAAGCAACCCCACTTATTGATTATTGGGAAGCTGAGTGATGGATAACAAAACAGGCACATAGCTAGAGAATAAACCACTGAAATTTTGCAAAATATAATAAAATATAATAGTTGACTAAGCCATCTGTATAAATATCCATGCAAGGGGGGTCAAAGTAAATAAATTTTTGATTTTGATAGTTCAAGCACTGTAGATTTAAACATGAAAGTTGAAGTAATATTCTTCTCTACTTTGAAAAGAACAAAATTTTAAGAGGCAGAAAGAGGTTAAGAAATTACTTAGTGTAATAAATTGATCCTTTGAACAAAGATTTGTTTCTTCTCCTGCTCTGTGGCAGGAATCATCTAGTCAGGAGCTTTCCAATAGGGAAAACACTAGCCACATGTGGCTTCTGAGCATTTGAAAGACAGCTAGTCCTAAGTGTGATGTAATATGTATAAAAAAAACCTCACCAGATTTAACTATCTTGATAAAATATTTATTTTATCTCATTGAAATTTTATATTGTGTATGTGTTATAGTAATATATTGTTCTGTTTGGATCAAATGTATTAAAAGGTAAAGGTAAAGGCCCTCCCGTTGATCGTCGATTTGCTCGAGCGGGCCCAGTAATGTCTCCATTGGAGACTTTGTTGTTACTGTGTCTGGCATATCGAATACTCTCAGTAGCTTGCCAGGCTCTCCGAAAACTAAAGTTAATTTCACTTGTTGCTTTTTTTTTTCTTTTTTAGCTTTTTGCGTCACATCTGGCAATGCACAGGGGATACTCCTGGCTCAGAAATCACTCCTGGCTATGCTCAGGGGACCATATGGGATGTCAGGGATAGAACCTGGGTCAGCTGTGTGCATGGAAGGCAAATGCCCTACCCACAGTACTATCGCTCCAGCCCTCTCTACTTGCTTCTTTTTAGTTTTCAGTGTGACTGCTAAAAAATGCACAGCATTCAATTGTACAAAATTGAAGAAGACACAATGAAAAAGCTCATAGTCTTAAAGATTTCTTAAAGAATTTCATAGTCCTCAGAGAGAAAATGTAAAAATAAATAAAGTTTGCTAATTATGTTTCCAGGGGACTGAAGTGATAGTACAGTGGGTATGGCATTTGCCTTGCACTTGGCTGACCCAGGTTTGATCCCCGGCATCCCCTACGATCCCCCGAGCGCGACCAGGAGTAATTCCTGAGTTCAGAATCAGAAGTAACCCCTGAGCATTGCTGATGTGACCCAAAAAGCAAAAACAAAAGAAAATGTATTGTGTTTCTAGTCTATAAAGAAACAGAAAGGATCAGGAGAACCTTAAAACTGTCCAGTTGATCTCTTCTGTTTTAAACAGCCTTAATTTACCTAAACGGTCTGTAATTCTCAGTTGAATTCTCTAGGTAGGTTATTTTCTTCAAGTTCTTCTATTTGGCAAGATGGCATCAGGTTTTAAGGAGTTTACTGGGCTATTGTTAAGTGGGAAGAGAGATCTTTCCTTTTGGATTCTGGTACTGGCCTCCTTTTGCTGACTAAGACCCTGTGCCTGAGTTTTCTCTGAAGCAACAAAATCCTAAGGCTCAGCACAACTTTCATTTGATGCCCTTCCAAGGAGTCTGCCTTTAGGGACCCTTCTTTTGCAGTAAAAGTCCTCAACTCTGCCAATTAAAGATTTAGATATGTCTTTCTTCTGCATGCCATGAGGAGTTCCTGTACTTCCTTCCACAAATCGGGGATGAGGGTGACTCAGGGCCCTATCCCTCCCTAACTACACAATGATACTAGTTCTATTGTACGGCTGCATTCCCTGGTTCCCAAGGAGATATTCTCTCCCCTCACCAAGAGTTCTTAAAGGGGAGTCGATGGAATTGGATAAGTAAGTACTCCCCTACTAACCTTAACCTTAAGTTAGTACTTCCACCTCAATAATCTGGTATTGTTTCCTTTAGAGTTTTACCTCCTGTTTGTCCCTTTTCCCACCTCATTCCTGAAAAAGTTACACTCATGAACGGATGAACAACGGTTTATTTATTTACTTTTGTTAATAGCACCTCTTGGAGAGCCCGGCAAGCTACCAAGAGTATCCGCCCGCACGGCAAAGCCTGGCAAGCTACCTGTGATGTATTTGATATGCCAAAAACAGTAACAACAAGTCTCACAATGGAGATGTTACTGGTACCCGCTTGAGAAAATCGATGAACAACAGGAGGACAGTGCTACAGTGCTACAGTTAATAGCATAGCTGAAAATTCCTATTTGAGTTCTACACAAAGAAACATGCCCAAGGGATATTAAAAAATTTAAAGAAGGAGAACCTATTTCATCCTTGTGCTTTAGGAAAACTTTCCAGAGCAGGTGATAGTCACTGATCCACATTTAGAAATCTTTCATGGAATTATTCAACCCAGGTTTAAAACTTGGTTCCATCAGCTGCTCTGTTTATGGCCTAGAAACACAATTAACCCTACTGGACTTCAGTTTCCATCTGAAACTGCACCTAAATAAAACCATGTTCTGTCTAGGTGGTGTACTGATCAAATAAGAGATATTTAAATATTGCTTAGCACGCATGATACTTTGTCAATGAACATGACTGATGGTTATTTTTATATAGCATATTTCTGCTTTTAAATTGTTGTAGGAAGATAGATAAGGGTGCCTTAGTGTGGAGTTTTGGAAGCTACCTAGTCATCAGTCCTGAAGTAGCCCAAAGGCATGAAGATTGTATCGTTTTGAGATGAAATACTGAGCTCTTTGGAGATGGAGAGAATGACTCTTGGGCAGGCATAATTTGGAAAAATCCGGCTATAAAACCAACTTTGTAAAGGAATATGACATGCATTCTCCACTTTGGCATGCTCAGGGCTTACTTCTGACTGCACTCAGGAATCACTCCTGATGGTGCTTAGGGGACCAGATGAGATACTGTGGGATTGAACCTGGGTTGGCCTAGAGCAAGGTAAACACCTGGCCCAGTGTTCTATCTCTCTGTCCCCAATAAATGATACTATTTTTCTTCACCATTCATCTCTTCCTGAAATTCTTTTCTGTGTTAGAAGGTGATATTCCTGGAAAACCTGGACAGGGTTAGGACTTACTTTCCTTTTCCAGCAAAGATCAATTCTTTACCCCATCTTGAGTC